GTATTATTACCCCATTTGCAGATGAAGACAAATCGTGGTACAGAGATGGATTGATTTGCCAAGTCAAGCAGAAAGTGTTTGACAGATTTAACTATTTGAACTCAAACAGGGGGGTGCACTGTCCGTCTTACAACCACTTTATTTCCTGATTCTTTTATGGGTGATTTTATTTTAAGCCACAGAAGTGGGTGAGCTCATACATGTAATGTGTTCAGAACAGAGTCCGGCATGATGAAGCCAGTAGGGGCTAGCTGCTGCTGCCCTTGACTACTGTTTCCACTACAACTTAGTAGATGTGAAAGAATGAGTATCTGAAGTGCCTTATTTACATACACCTTATATGTATATAACAACAGTATCTTCGCATCAGTATAACTTCTGCTTTGTAAAAGAAGTTTCTACTACAGCCACTTATTACTGGTAACATTCTCTGTGTTTTGTTGTTGTTGTTTTTTTATTTATGTGGTTAATTGTCTAGCTTTATGTGGTAGGTTATGAACTCGTTAAGAAGAGAAAGTTTGGGGGCGCCTGGGTGGCGCAGTCGGTTGGGCGTCCGACTTCAGCCAGGTCACGATCTCGCGGTCCGTGAGTTCGAGCCCCGCGTCGGCTCTGGGCTGGTGGCTCAGAGCCTGGAGCCTGTTTCCGATTCTGTGTCTCCCTCTCTCTCTGCCCCTCCCCCGTTGATGCTCTGTCTCTCTCTGTCCCAAAAAAATAAATAAACGTTAAAAAAAAATTAAAAAAAAAAAAAAGAAGAAGAGAAAGTTTGTCCCTTGTTTACCCAGTTAACAGCGAAGAGCTGGGTACATCGTAGGTAATCAGTAAATATTTGAGATAAACAAAAGTAGACACAACAGAAATGAGAAGAAAGGGATTTTTTTTTTTTTTACCTTAGTCACTTGCACTGCCTGTGACAAAAGCATGGAAATAAGAAGGACATTTTGCATTATTTCTCTAAAACCGTTAGCAAGGTTTCAACCAGGACCTAGGAAAAAAGAAGGTGTGCATAGAAGAATCATGAACAGGGGACTTCAGGTCCTCTTAACATTACCATTGCTTTTCTTCCTGAGTCTCCCACGTGCTTTGCTTCAAGGGTAGCAAAGAAGGCAGACAGGTTTCCTAGAGTCACAGCCAAAAAGCAGGTCAAGTCCAGAATACTATGATATGCCTGCCACAGGAGTTTCGTTGATTTTGAAGGACAAATATTTGAGTCAAAGATGAGGTTATTTTCCTCCAAAAAGAAAACATGTTTATATTACTATATTGTACAGAATAATATTACACCTACTTACTTACCCTCACACAAAATTTATATGTCTTATTCCTACTTACCAAGTAAGTTTCTCCCCTTTGTGTTCTCAGCAAGAATAAGCTGTAAGAGAGAGAGTACTGCTATGTTGTGAAATTAGACACTAGCTTTCAAAGTCTTGGAACACAGGAATATAATACAAAAGACTATAAGGAGGGCATGTAGAGAAGAGAGTGGAAAGCAACAATTTATTCAAGGAAATAATTTTCTTACATATAGATCTTTGGAGAGAGGAACACAACAAAGGAGCTTTATAAAGCGTTAAATGTCAGTTGTTTTTGCAAAGAGGTAGTTTCGTGGTACTAATTTTTACCTAAAAAAAGGGTTTCGTATTAGATTTATAAATTGCTGAGGATTGTACTTCTTTAGATGATTGAAAGAGTTTCTATCAGTTTTATCATATACACTTTTATCATGTATATGTATATTTTACTTAGTAATGAGTGGATATTATGTAAAAGGTCATGCATAAGCCATGGTTCTAACTCACAGAGATGTCACTGAGCTGATATATAATGCAGAAATTATAGTGTAATTTTTCAGGGAAGATGATGCACTTAAATGCATTACATTTTGTTTAATGAAAAGTAACTTGGTTTTTTTTAATTAATTAACTTATTTTGTTTGTTTGTTTATTTATTTATTTATTTATTTATTTATTTATGTGATTTCTCAAACTCACAACCTCACCATCAAACGTTGCATATTCTTCTGACTCAGCCAGCCAGGCGCCCCGATAGTTGTTTTGATTCAGCTCACCTAATTATATTTTAACAAATCAGTATAACATAATAATATATCGATACTACATGAATACAACATAGAGAATTGTTCATTACCCCTCCTAGCTATATGTTTCTGGTTTTAGTAACAAGATTGCTATTTTTATCATAGTAAAGTTTTAATACAGATATATAAAAATTGAATTCTGAGGGGAAATTTAGTGGACTCACAGAAGAGGAGGGATGAATGCTAGGGGGAGAACCTCAACATTTCTGTGATTACAGTAAGAGAAAAGTAGATAGAAATGTTGTAAACTATGACATAATGATGCCTTACTTCTAACCCAAGTCTATCTCTCTACTAAATTAGATGAAATTCTTATTGACTTTTAAAATGGACTTTTCTGTCTTCTTAAAAAATTTAGTAAAGCAGTAATTATTTTAATATACTTACATGGTCCTGAAATTACATAATGTTAATGGTTATTCTTTTTTTATGCTATGGTTCACAGAAATTTAGGCTCAGCCAAGCAAATAAAAGCATATCTTGTCATCAACTTTTAAACATATAAACATTAATTATGTATTATTTATATATATAATATAAATATATTTATGTATGATATATTTATAATGTATATTTATAGATTATATCTGCTATTTTATAACATATTATATATAACATGTGTAACATTATATGTTATTTTATAAAAATATTGTAACAATCTGAATTAAAATTCAACCAATATATCTTCATGGTGTATTGAACTACAATATTGTGAAGGCTTGTGCTGTTTCTTACATTCATATTGATTTTATTTAATTAAAAAAACATTTTTTAGTGAATGAATTACATGTAATTAATTTTACCAACTTAAATAGAATCTTTGTGTGCTTTTAAGAACCATGTGCTGGATGTAATTGCATGCAGTCCTTAGTCCATGACCTACACTGTAAACAGAATTAGAACATATTGCTCAGAAAAAAAGATGTAATTAATTTTAAATATTTTCAAAGATGGATGTCCACAGCATAGAAGTACCTATACCTAGATTTATATTTTGAAACTATACACAGAACACTTGTGATTTGTGGCACAAAAAAATGAGTTGTGGTAAGAGAGGCGGTGAATGAAATTAACCATAGTGTTTTTTGTACAACCAGTCTCACTCTACAGAATAAATGTATTCTTCACAATGTGGAAAATTAATTTTTAAAAGCGCAAACCTTGGGGCTCCCGGTTTGCTTTTTTAAAGCAACTGCCTCTGTCAGTTGAGCATCTGACTCTTGATTTCGGCTCAGGTCATGATCCTAGGGTTGTAGCCTCAAGTCCCACATTGGGCTCTGTGCTGAGAGTGGAGCCTGCTTAAGATTCTCTCTCTCTTTCCGTCTCCTTCTTCCCCTCTCCTCTGTTCCTGCACATTCTTTCTCTCTGAATTAAAAATAGATAGATAGATAGATAGATAGATAGATAGATAGATAGATGATAGATAAAATCTCAGAGTAGACATAATAGCAAAACCCACTTTTAAAAGTGTGTGTGCATGTGTGTGTGTGTGTGTGTGTGTGTGTGTGTGTGTGTGTACATCTTCAATCACTGCTTTGCATCTAGTCAGATGTCATACAAATCAACTTTAGGAAAAAGCCCATGGAGTCCACCCATGAATATCCAAATCACAAACCTCAAATGCTAATCTCAAATGAATTTTTGTATGGCTTGTATATAAAAGCACTTTTGTATCCACACTGACACAGAAGTGACATACCACCTGGATGGTGAGGATGGTACTGGGAGAGATTTTCATAGAATTTTATTACCTGGGTTAAAAGCTCCATGAGGGCAGGTACTGTTCTGTTTGATCACTGAAATTTCTCAAACCTCTAGAACATTACAGCACTCATAGTGAGCACTCAGCAAATATTTGATGAATGAATGGGTGGACAGTTTGTAAATGGTCACCCTACTTATGTTTTAGATCATAAAAATGAAAATTTAGGCAGTTGTAAGTTACTTATGTGATACATTGGTGGCAAAAGCCCAAAATGTAGGTTCCTAAGGCAATGGTATTGTCCTTCAATAAATTATGTCACTGTTAAGTCCTAAATTAGTGATGAAAGTAAACATCTAACCAAGGTTAGATATACTAAGGGAGAATTTCCAGGCAAATATCTTATATACTTATATTCTATAAACCTCCCTACATAATCCATTTTATGATTTACAGGGCATTACCTCTTGTGAGGTAAATACACAAGCTAGTATCATGTTTATTATGAAGATTTATTTACCCACTCAGTAAATACCTAGTAAATGCTTTTTTTTCAGCAGCATGCTAAGTATTGAGGATGTAATTGTATATGTGTGATTTCTATGGTCCCTTTCCCAAGGACATTTCTTCTTATGACAGAAATAAACAAACAAGTAAACACATACCCAGGCAAAATAAATTTGTCTTGTGATGGGTGTTTTGAACCAAATAAGTGGAGACTGGGGGGTTTGGGGATTGAATGAATCTGTAGTTACGGTGATCAGGGGAGGCAATTTTGAGGAGATGATATTTAAGGTGGGATCTGAAAGTTGCAAACTCACTTAAAAAGGGGTTTCCTCCTTTGGGTAGGGTTTAAAACATCTCCATGGTAGGCATGTATTCCAATGGGAGATGGAGAGGGGAGGAGTTACTACACCTTGACTGTACAGCATTCGGTAGAGTTGGAAATCATTGCATTGAATAGTTAATGCCCATTTACCAAAGTGGAAACATTCCTATCCCCCCAAGTCATTATTATGAAGCACCCCTACCTTTTTATCACGTTGTTCAACCAATGTTTGGGATGTTAAAATAACTGCTTAATATAAAGCAAAGAATTAGAATTCTGGTAGTACCCAATCAAATGCAGCATAGTTTTATATATTAAGTTTGACTATATTTCTATTTTTTATTTGATTTCTTTATTTTATACATGTTTCCCAGGATAGTCCACTGGTCTTACAGTCTGACAGGAATGTAACAGTGAATGCGAGAAATCACATGGGGCAGTTAACTGGACAGCTGACAGTAGGTGAGTGCTTTGGAGTTAAGATTGCTCGTAGCATCTTACTCCATTTAAAATTTGGGGATTGTTTAAATTGGGGAAAGCAAAGGTATATTATTTCTCTAATATAAACCAGACATCCTTTTTTAGCCCAGTTACCTTGCACATGATTTGATATTTCATAAGTTAGTTATACTTTCCTCTATTTACTCGTTCTTACTCTTGTCAGGGTGTTACTATGAGACAAGTACAAATATTTTGTTATTACTCTTAGGTTATGAAATGCAGCATTTTCCTAACAAAGCATGTGAGATATAACATCATGTTGTCTATATATCCTTTGTTTTAGGTAAATCATTCCTAATAAATATTATCTGCTAGTAATAATTAGAAATGACATAGTTAAATATAACAAATCTTAGCATTTATCAATTACTTATGAATTTGGTATTGAGTTTATCTAAATTTTAAGGTTTATATGCTTTAGAAGTTATGCTAATGATAAAATGTTATTAATATTTTCTCATATTGTAAAGAAATTAGAGATTCATATTACATGGCATTATTATTTGACTTAATTTTTATAAGAAAAATGGCAAATAAAAAGTCAGTTCTAATTATGTAAAACAATAAGATTTGATTTATATGTAAATGCTAAAATATCTTTAGAATACTGTATTTTTCTGTTGGGAAATTACCTACTATTGATAATATATGTATGTATATAAAAGTATAAATAGCAAATTATAACTTGAGGAATGAGTTATCCTTATCTTAATGAGAAATTAATGAATACCTTAATACAAATGCATGTTTCTGATATTTCTTTTTAAATTACACAAGTACATGGCATTTGAAATGTGAGGTTTGTAAATATGAATTTGACTGTCTACTTCCTTTGTAGGTATATGAAACACTTTTTGAAATGCTATTTGCCTTAATGAAGCCAAAAATGAAATTTATATTTTATCATACATGTATTTCCAAAACATACAATTGTACTTTATTCATAATAATTGAATTTTATTTTATACATTGTTCACATCATTAAAGTTGGTCACTTGTCATCATTTGAATACTGGAGGAGAAAAATAAAAGGAGGATAAACTGAAAAGTTGAATAAGAGATAATATTAATGGGCAGCGCTAGTTTTGTTTGTACTTACATTTTTTTTCAGTAGTCTCCCTTATTTAAATTTAAGTTGCAAGCAATCATGTTTGGGAAACTCCAGAAGGCTGCAATGTGGTCCTGCGGTGTAAGCATGAAAGAAGGTCCATAATGCCATGTCTATAACATTATCTCTGTAAAACATTAATGCTAATTAGATATGAAATAATTGGGATGTAATTCTTCTGAATATTTACTTTTAAAATCTGCTTAGAGTCACAGTCTGATGCTTCATAGAAGATCTCATATCTCATCATAACTCCCCTTGTTTAATGCTCAGTAAATTTTAGAGAATACATGAAGTCCTACGAGCTGCAAGCCTTTATTGTCAGAATCATTTACTCATCTTTGATATTTTCATTTCCATTCATCAAAAATCAATGACATAGCCAAATTATATAGAAACCGTAATTACATTCTGTGATTTCTCATTTTTCTGTCTTCATTAATTCTTCAAAGCTTAAAGTCATGGCTGCCTTAGATAAGTCTTACTCTGTGGTAATAAGACAGAGTGTCATTTGCAAGAAATTAAACCCAGTGATATTAACATTTGGTGCTAGTTTCCTCTCCATAATTCACTTTTTGAGGATTAAACGCCACATAAAATAGAAGCAACCAAGGGCAGCTTCTGCCCTTTTTGGTTTCTTCTGAGGTCTGAGGTGCTTGCCTTCCTTCATTGCCCAAGGGGATTTACAAGAGAGTCAGGGAGTGGGAGAATTGAGTAGCAAGGTGCCAGGACAGAGGCATCGCTTCTGGGTCTGTGCCTCTTCTAGTACCTGTCAGTCAACTATACACCTAACCGTCAAATTTGATTTATTTATGATATGAGAAATATGCTTGATAAGAAAAATTAGGCATCGGGATTCTGTAAGAAGAATTTCTTTCTTTGATTTGAATATTTGATTTGATTGGAATATTTTCTTTGTTTTCTTAATATTTTCAGTCAATTTATGCTAATAATAAAGTCCATATGATGAAACTGTAAATTACATTTTTATTTTTTAATGTTTATTTATTTATTTTGAGAGAGAGAGAGAGCAAGAGCAAGCAGGGGAGGGGCAGAGAGAAGGAGAGACAGAATCCCAAGCAGCTCTGCACCATCAGCACAGAGCCCCACATGTGGCTCCAACATGAACCACAAGATCATGACCTGAGCCAACATCAAGAGTTGGATGCTCAACTAACTATGCCACCCAGGCTCCCCTAAATTACATTTTTTAAATACCATAAGTCTGAAATGAAATGAAATACTGTAAGTTTATGAAGACATAAAAAATTAAAATATACATATGTACAAATTAACATAAAAAACTAGTCCATTCTTTATCCATATGGAAGCTATTTGTATCCTATATAATTTATTTATTTATTTTTTTTTCAACGTTTATTTATTTTGGGGACAGAGAGAGACAGAGCATGAACGGGGGGGGGGGGGGGCGAGAGAGAGGGGGACACAGAATCGGAAACAGGCTCCAGGCTCTGAGCCATCAGCCCAGAGCCTGACGCGGGGCTCGAACCCACAGTCCGCGAGATCGTGACCTGGCTGAAGTCGGACGCTTAACTGACTGCGCCACCCAGGCGCCCCTGTATCCTATATAATTATTAATTACACCACACTGACTGGGGCACATGGGTGGCTCAGTCGGTTAAGTGTCCAAATCTTGATTTCGGCTCAGCATGATTTCCTGGTTCATGGATTTGAGCCCCGCGTCGGATTCGGCAATGACAGTGCAGAGCCTGCTTGGGATTCTCTCTCTCCCTCTCTCTCTGCCCCTCCCCATCTCGTGCTTTCTTTCTTTCTCAAAATAAATAAATAAACATTAAAATAAAAAAAAAAAACCCCGTTGACCTTTCTGGGTGTAAAGATGTAAAGCGAAATGTGACTAATGGCATGATCCAACTATGCTTAAAGAGAAACATCTGAGCTTTCTATGGAAAACTAGGTTTTTTTCTCACATACACTGAACAGAATGTACACATCGTCTAATAGAAGGAATACACTGTGTTTTTTTTGCATCTCTATATCAAAAGAGACATGGGCCTGCTAACCATGGCTTGGTGCTTTAAAGAATGCACAGAATGTGACCACAAATGCCATGAGATAAAATAATTGTGGGAGCAAGAAATAGAACATGTTTCCCGGTTCAACTTAATTCAGGGATAAGAATCTAGACTCCTCTGCAAGAGATGATATGTATGTCTATTAAGTATCCCTTATGATATATGCCTTCACCTGGGCTTGTTGGTCAGATGAAGTGAGGCCCCAAATGTTACTTGTTTGTGGCTAGATCTTTTCGTTTCAGAAGTGAAGTGAACTGATGATAAAATTAATATCATTTAGTAAACAGAAGACCCTAATGAAGACTCTTAACTGTATCTATGTCCCTCTGCCCACCTCAGTATATTTCCAACATCCAAGACAGGGAGGCAGACAGACCGGCAGGCAGGCAGGCAGGCAGATACACACACACACACACACACACACACACACACACACACACGCACAGAGCACTCAGGCTTCCCCACAGAACCAGTGTAAGGAGAGTGCTGGGAAGCAGGACCAGCACAACATTTAAAGAAACCTTTCAAGTCCACTACTACACACGGAAAAATTGATTGAGACATCAGCATCTTATTCACTGTAATATGCTACAAGATAATTGGAGTCTGGAAGCTTTTCCAAAAATATGTAATAGTCACCTATCATGGAAAAATAATCCTTCAATAATGCAAGCAGTGAATAAAACCACATAATTTCTAAAATTAATCACATCATTTAATCACATAATTTTATTTTTTTATGTTTATTTATTTTTGAGAGAGAGAGACAGTGTGTGAGCAGGAGAGAGACAGATAGAGAGTGAGACACAGAATCTGAAGCAGGCTCCAGGCTCTGAGCTGTTAGCACAGAGCCCGATGCAGGGCTCAAACTCATGAACCATAAGATCATGACCTGAGCTAAGATGCCTAACCAACTGAGCCACCCAGGTGCCCCATAATCACATAATTTTAATAGTAACTATGTTACTGTTAGGAATTTGTTATACAATGATGTTTATTAGATTATTCAAACCATGAGCATTTTTTAATATTCCACAAATTTAGGTTAATCCACATACCCAAAGATTTCACAATACCTGTCACAAAATATGCTGACTAGAAAGGCACTTTGATTATGAATAATTATTAAGAGGTATTATAAATAAACCAAAGAAAAAAGAAAAATCAGAACATAAGTTCAATGAAAATTATTTTTAAAACAGAATTTTATGGCTTTTCGGTAATTAACAGTATTATGGGGATAATCATGTGATTTATATGCCAAAATGCTCTAGAAGAGTATATTTACCTAGAAATCATAATTTACTCAGAAACTAGTTTTAGAAAGGAGTTGTATTTTAATAGGTAAAAGCCTGGATTCTGGAGCCAACTAAGTCCCACATCTGTCACTTCCCAGCACTGTGACCTAATGCAGGTTACTCTGGGCATCTTCCATACTCCGGGTTTCTGTGGGGAAAATTGATGAGTATCCATATCATACAGTAAATGTGGGCATTAAATAAATGAATATATGTGAAGTACTTGGAATACTTCCTGGAGCATAGGATGCAGTATGTATATGTTAGTAATTATAATTTTTATTAGATCCGTATGTAAATAATTCTGTACAATTGACCAAGCTTCATAGTTTTACTTTTCTTATCTATAAAATGAGTATTATGCTAGATTGTCTCCGTGAATCTTTTCTGAAAGCTAAACTCTTTTACCTTTAGAGAGGATATTAGTTAATGAATCCTCTGGTCCCTTAAATTCCCCACTATTCATTAGTCCTGGCAAGAAAAGGACAATCTGGTTTGAGT